AAATTAAGAACTCTATCAAGGGCAAATTCTGGAATAACCTTAGATATACGTTTCATTTATTCATAACCCAAGAGCAAACTAAGTTCATTATGATGTGCAAGGGAAATCAAGTCATCACAATTTTTGGACACGATACGATCATGAAACAATTTGCATTGGGTACTGAAATGATCACGTTCATTGCAAAGTTCACAAGTACGGCTAAGAAAGTTTAAATTTTCAGCACAAACATCTAGCCTTTCTTACAACCATTTAGTTTCCAAATACTTATGCCTCTTGCAGAATCTATCTTCCCTGTATGGTATGTACTTGCAAACTCTATGCACTCCACAAAAATCGATATGCTTATAAGAGATATTTTCATCATGACTAGTGCAATCATCATTAGTACTATGGATATTCAAAGAGTTCATACTAATAACATTGCAATCATGCTCATCATTCAAAGATTTAGTGCCAAACATTTTATGGACTTCTTCTTCTAGCACTTGAGCACAATTTTCCTTTCCATCATTCTCACGAAAGATATTAAAAAGATGAAGCGTATGAGGCAAACTCAATTCCATTTTTTGTAGTTTTCTTTTATAAACTAAACTAGTGATAAAACAAGAAACTAAAAGATTCGTTTGCAAGACCTAAAGATATACCTTCAAGCACTCACCTCCCCGGCAAAGGCGCCAGAAAAGAGCTTGATGTCTACTACACAACCTTCTTCTTGTAGACGTTGTTGGGCCTCCAAGTTCAGAGGTTTGTAGGACAGTAGCAAATTTCCCTCAAGTGGATGACCTAAGGTTTAACAATCCATGGGAGGCGTGGGATGAAGATGGTCTCTCTCAAGCAACCCTGCAAGCAAATAACAAAGAGTCTCTTGTGTCCCCAACACACCCAATACAATGGTAAATTGTATAGGTTCACTAGTTCGGCAAAGAGATGGTGATACAAGTGCAATATGGATACTAGATATAGGTTTTTGTAATCTGAAAATATAAAAAAGCAAGGTAACTAATGATAAAAGTGAGCACAAACGGTATTGCAATGCGTTGAAACAATGCCTAGGGTTCATACTTTCACTAGTGCAAGTTCTCTCAACAATAATAACATAATTGTATCATATAACTATCCCTCAACATGCAACAAAGAGTCACTCCAAAGTCACTAATAGCGGAGAATAAACGAAGAGATTATGGTAGGGTACAAAACCACCTCAAAGTTATCCTTTCTGATCGATCTATTCAAGAGTCCGTAGTAAAATAACATGAAGCTATTCTTTTCGTTCAATCTATCATAGAGTTCGTACTAGAATAACACCTTAAGGCACAAATCAACCAAAACCCTAATGTCACCTAGATACTCCAATGTCACCTCAAGTATCCGTGGGTATGATTATACGATATGCATCACACAATCACAGATTCATCTATTCAACCAACACAAAGAACTTCAAAGAGTGCCCCAAAGTTTCTACGGGAGAGTCAAGACAAAAACCTGTGCCAACCCCTATGCATAAGTTCACGAGGTCACGGAACTCGCAAGTTGAACACCAAAACATACATCAAGTGGATCACGTGATATCACATTCTCACCACAGATAAGCACATGCAAGACATACATCAAGTGTTCTCAAATCCTTAAAGACTCAATCCGATAAGATAACTTCAAAGGGAAAACTCAATCCATTACAAGAGAGTAGAGGGGGAGAAACATCATAAGATCCAACTATAATAGCAAAGCTCGCGATACATCAAGATCGTACCACCTCAAGAACACGAGAGAGAGAGATCAAACACATAGCTACTGGTACATACCCTCAGCCCCGAGGGTGGACTACTCCCTCCTCGTCATGGAGATTGTTGGGATGATGAAGATGACCACTGGAGAGGGATTCCCCCCTCCGGCAGGATGCCGGAACGGGTCTGGATTGGTTTTCGGTGGCTACGGAGGCTTCTGGCGACGTAACTCCCGATCTATTCTGCTCCCCGATGTTTTTAGGGTATATGGATATATATAGGCGAAAGAAGTCGGTCAGGGGAGCCACGAGGGGCCCACGAGGGTGGGGGCGCGCCCAGGGGGCAGGCACGCCTCCCTGCCTCGTGGCCACCTTGAAGCTTACTTGACTTCAACTCCAAGTCTCCTGGATCACGTTCATTCTAAAAATCACGCTCCCGAAGGTTTCATTCCGTTTGGACTCCGTTTGATATTCCTTTTCTGCGAAACACTGAAACAAGGGAAAAAACAGAAACTGGCACTGGGCTCTGGGTTAATAGGTTAGTCCCAAAAATAATATAAAAGTGTTTAATAAAGCCCATAAACATCCAAAACAGATAATATAATAGCATGGAACAATCAAAAAGTATAAATACGTTGGAGACGTATCAGCCGCCCGCGCGATGGGCGAGGGAGGGGGAGGAGGAGAAGTATGATACAACAATTATATCACTAGAAACTCCTTTCACGTATGAATCTAACGATATGCTTTGTGTAACATGTATGTCATATATTACTACTCTAACCCATAGTCAAAAGGAATCTCGAAAAATGTATTAGGCCCTACATACATATAGATGGAGCGAGTATATAAACTATATTATGAAATGAAGGAAGTATATAGTACGCACATCAAGATTATGAGCCCCACGGGAAGATGCAGCTGCCCGCTGCCAAGCATACATCAGAGCAACTCCAATGAGGCGACCCATTTCGTCCACCGCCGTCCGTTTGGGTCGGCATGGGTAAAAGAGAAGGCCCAATGCAGCGACCCAAACCCAAATGGAGTCCACTTCATGTCCGTGCCGACGCATTTGCGGCCCAAATTTGCGTCCCAAATGCGTCAGCGCGGACGTGGAACGGACGCTACGCGCGCCTTCTCGGTGTCTTCCACGGCCCCACCTGGCGGTCGTCCAACCGCCCGCCACCTACCTGGTCAGCTTAATTTATGACATCGGGCCCACACGTTAGCAACGGCGGTCATCCTTTTTTAAGCCGGCCGTGCGGCGGGGCCGTCCTCATCCAGCCAGACCCCATCCCCATCTAGCCAGACTTGCTCCCCCGTCGCCGGCAAACCCTAGCCACCCTAGCTGTGCCAAATGGGGCTCTTCTCCGGCGCCGGTAGCAGCAGCAAGGCCAAGGCCAAGTCGCCCGCCACCCCCTTTCCCATAGAGTTTCTCCTGCCTCCGCCGACGCCAGCTCGCCGGCCGAGGCATCGCGTCAACATGCCGGTGCACCAGGCAGAGTGGTACTGGCAGCACTGCGTGCCTCTCCCGTACCCCGACGTCACCCTGCCGCACAACTGGCACCTAGATCCGGAGAGGATCCCGGTGCCGGCGGCCCCGCGGTCGGCCAGGGCACACGCGGAGGAGGTGCGGCGCCGGCGGGAGCTCCTGACGCCAAAGCAGCACCGCGATACCGCCTACGCCTCCGACTCGCCCAACTGGGTGCGCTGGTTTGCCTTCGAGCACGAGGAGGCGAGGCGACGCGGCGTCTGCGAGGTCGACCGGACCATGCCACCGCCCCCGCTCATCGTCCGTTTACCAGGAGAGCGAGGATGACGAGTGGCGTAGGGCGGCGGCGGCAGAGGAAGAGGAGGCGGCGTACGAGGCGGCCATGGCGCAGGCCATGGCCCTCTCCGCGGCGGGCGACTGCGTCCTGCCGCCAGTGACCCCGCCGTCTCTGTGAAAGCCGAGCCGGAGCCGGAGCCGGAGCCGTCCCCTATCGAGTGCTACTCCTGGACGGGAGTAGTGCGTGAGTGGGTCAGTGCACCGCCGGTCTGGGTGGGGGCGACGCCGGCACACGAGGCGGCGTACCTCGAGCACTGGCGCCACATCCGGTTGGCCGAGGAGCGCCGCCACGGCGAGTACCTTGAGATGCTCGAGCGCGAGGCCGAGGAGGAGGCGCGCCAGGCCGCGGCGGCACAGGCAGCCTCACAGCCCGCGCCGGCGCCGGCACAGCCTGCGCCGGACATGAACGCCCTCTGGAACTCAGCGTTCTTCTGGGCCGGCCCTGCGCCGACGCTCATCGACCTCACGGACCCCGAGGACGACAACGACGACGCTTAGGGCAGCGCGCCGCCTCGTAGTTTAGTTTATTTTTAATTTTTATTAATGCTAATTTGAACGTGTGGACTCTCTCCGGCCTTCCTGGCCGGCTTTAATGTATAATTATTGCATGTTTTTTTCGCGCCGTCAAAAATGGATCGGGCCAGCGTTGGGCGTACACGCCGACCCAAATACGAACGTGATCGTTCGTGTCTACCTAGCCGACCCAAACGGATAAAAAGTGAATAAAATCGCCGTTGGTTTGGATCGGGCCATTGGAGTTGCTCTCATGGCCTGGACGGAGCACATGCGAGGTGCCAAAGTTGTTGGGCCCATACGTTGACATGAAGGGGACAGCAGCGCACAGGCACATATTCGATCTCGAATGGGACGCGAATCGAGAACAGTTTTGTTAGAACTCATCTAGATAAGATATAATTTGGTCTTATTCATCTTTTATGGCCATTGGATGTGATGCTATAAGATGCTATAAGATGCGTGTGTGCTGACGTGGATGTTATATATTCTTGTTTTTCAAGTGAATAAGACCAAATTATATCTCATCTAGATGAGTTTTAGGTACTCCCGTAAATGGTAAACCAGCCAATGGCTGTACGGCACGCACGTTGTCTAGGCCGTGAAGGCGCCAGGTGCCATCAGGTAGGGTGGTCTCGCTCGCACGTCGGCCCCCGCCACCCTGCGACGCAGATCTACCATCGTCCACACGCTGCCACTTGTGCTAACGAATTCACGCTATCCACACGCAGTCACATCCTGATCGCATCCTGCTACTATTCCATGCTTCTGTATAAAGCCTCTGGGTGCTGACTAGCGAGTAGCGAGTGAAGCATCAAGTACCCCTGGCAGAACAAAACCCCTCGCTAAAAACAAGCGCCAGTACAGCACGGGGGAGAGAGAGAGAGGCCAACAACCATCTGTGCGAGCAGATCGACTCGTTGTCTCGTTGCAATGGAGGCCGACATGGACATGAGCTTCGATTTCTCTTGGGAGACGCCTAACTTCTTCGAGGCCCAGGTGCTGGAGCTCGGCGTCGTCGACAGGTGAGCCTGCACATTCAAGTGCGCCCCTCTGCTTGTTCATGGGGCAATCCATCGCCGGTAATTGTTCCTTCCTTTGGTGCCTACTAACCGTTGGATTAGCCTTGTTGATTGTTGCAGTATGTACCTGCCGGCTGAGGACTCGCTGTCCGGTCTGTACTCCTGCAGCTACGACGACTCGAGCTCGCCGGACGGCGCCAGCTCGTGGTCGACGGCCATGACGATGGCAACCCGCGCGAGCAAGAACATAATCATGGAGAGGGACCGTCGCAGGAGGCTCAACGAGAAGCTTTACAACCTCCGCGGCGTGGTTCCAAACATCACCAAGGTGAGCGCTCCCGCGCCCGCCTGCGATTCATCAATTTACAGATCACGGTGTGCTTAATTTGCTTGGCGTTTGTGCGGCGTTAGATGGACAAGGCGTCCATCATCCAGGACGCCATCGCGTACATCGAGGCGCTGCAGGAGCAGGAGCGGCAGCTTCTAGCCGAGATATCCGACCTCGAACCAGACAACTGCACCGCCATGGTCAAGGCGGAGGACGTCGCCTCCGTCGGGAGCCAAGCGGAGGAAGACGGCGTGGGCTTGCCGCGGCGGAAGAAGATGAGGAGGACTAGCTCCGCCTCCTCCGTCAACGACGCCATCACTTCCCCTGCCACGTATCCGGTCGAAATCCTCGAGGTAAATATCAACCTTCGAGGCAACGTTATGGAACGACACCATGCAATTGCAATTGCAGAGACGTAGTGCAATCGATGGAATGACTGCGCTGTTACGGTTTGTGCAGCTGGAGGTGACGAATGTAGCGGAGAAGCTGTCGGTGGTGAGCCTGAGGCACGGCAAGGCGCGGGACGCCATGGCCAAGGTGTGCGGGGCGCTGCAGTCGCTCTGTCTCAAGGTCATCACGGCAAGCGTCACCACCGTGGCCGGCAGCATGGTCCACACCATGTTCATCCAGGTAACCGTCCATCGATTCGCTGTCTTTCCCACCCAATCAATTGCTCCTCTCGCTCTATCCTGATTTCTCCAACGAAAAAGATTTGCTTCCGGTCCGTCCCTTTTGCTCGGTTGCTCCCGAATTTCTTTGATGACATCACCTTTGATGACGTCACACAAATGACGTCATACGTGACAGGGCTCGTTCATAAAAAGCATACGTTGGTTTCTTTTCTCCGTCAACCGGGTAGATTATTATGAACCGGTAGTACTCCGTTCATTTCATAATGTAGTGTGTCTGCATTTTTCAAGATTTAAGTTTGATTATAAATTTAACCAACATGGAAAACTGCAGCGGGAGCAAAACTTATATCATTAAAAACTTCTTTCGAATACGAATTCAATGATATAATTTTTGTTTCCGCTGCAGTCGTTCACGTTGGTTAAATTTGTGATCAAATTTAAATCTTAAAAAATGCGGACACACTAAATTATGAAATGGAGGGAGTATCTCACAAGGAAAATAAGAGGGTAGAATTTCGATCATGTTGTCCTACCTCATAAAATGTGACCAATGAAAATCCTCCGCGATAATCCTCTGAAGCTGCACCACCACTTGATCCTCCGACATAAAAAAAACACACTACTCCTCAAACCTTGGTACGTATCTCCGTCCTTGCGTTTTCAATTAGTAAGTTTGCACGTGCAATGCACGATACACTTCGATACACACCCGCACAAGTAACCACAACAAGCGTGAACTCAAAGATCCAACTAAAGACACTCACCGTGCTTGAAGATAAAGCTAGACACCATATTCGGCTTGGTATCATCATGTAAGTTGAGCAACAACGAGAAGTTTTTCAAAGAAAGATCAATGGTGGACATGCGGTCCAATACAGCTGACAAAACTACTACAAGCAAAAATAATAATGTATAAGAGCATATTATGCTTGAGAAAATGAAACATAATGCATTGGACAACAATGCCCAATCATGTTATGAATTTTGTAAAGTAACTTCAAAAAAAGCGAGTAGCTTCAAATTCGATTGTGAGAGGTCATCTATTCCAAGTTGATAACGTGTAAAATACACCTGGAAGGGAATATAGTAACGAAGCAATACAATTTTCTATTGTCGATTAAATCAACATATTCAAATCACATACGATGAGTGCATGATAGCTGATTAAATGAGCCAACCATTTCCACTGGAAAAGATTTAAATTTTGCTTATTGTTGTAAAAAAATGCATGGTCTACAGTTCAAACATGAGTGAAAACAATAAGTCAAGATATTGAAGGGTTCTACACAATATCCAGGTAGTAGAAAATAAATGTGAGTTCTGCTCTACAAAAGACGTCACCTGTGGTGAGATGCTGATAGTAAGTACAAAACAATTCTTGTAGTTAATTCTTGCGTAGTAAACACTGACCGAAATATAGTTGCCAACACTCATGCATCACAGCGCCAGGAGTAACCTGTTAAATAGCAGGAATATCACTAATTATTAACATCTGAAGAACAAATGCGCGTACAAGGAACATAATCTAAATCCTTACACTAAAGTGGCAATAATATAGGAGACTTTTGATTTTCAGTAGAGCTGGTAGCAATCACACATGGAATATTCCTGCAAAAACACACATAGATGAAGTACTCCAGAAATAACAATTGGCCAGCATGTAGAACAAAATACATCAGAAAACTGAAGTGAGAAAGAGGGTGACATTCGGATTCCTTGCTATCACTCTGCCATTGTAAGCATGCACAACCATCATGTTGTGGAGCAAATGCTTATAAGGATGATGGATGGTGCAAAATAAGAACGAAAGGAGAAAACCAATATTATTTCATATTGAACAAAATTCAAAACTCACCCATTGATGCATCATGAACCTGAGCGTTTGAATCTCGTGTTTGTGCTGTAATGAAAAATAGGACAATGCAAATGAGGTTAGGATTTGAGACACCTCTTACCAAAGGAGGCAGGGATGCATGATAATTTGCAGATTTCATTTGTTGATAATGCCAAACCTAGAAGTTGCAGAGGCGGGAATATACGGTGGGGGTGAGGTCCGGCGGGTGGGGTGCAGGGAGATGATGCATTGTGTGCGGATGGTGAGGCAGTGGCAAATCAGATCCAAAACGTGTAGCACGTCGAGTGAAGCAGTGGGCGACGACACATGGGTGCCCTGAAGAAGGCACAACTCCTCCTCATGCGTCCCTTGTGGTGGCTCGCGTGCTCCACTACTTCTTGTACATGAGTTCCGGTTCCGGGCGAGAGCACGTTCGTCTTGCCAGCGTACGCGGGTGGCTCTATCATCCGGCCGTATGTGAGCTCTTCATGTGTCTCCCATGCGCACACTCCTTCGCTGGACAGGGCCAGGGCACGAGCGTTGTCGGCGAGCCCGCCGGCGCATCCTTTCGATCTCTTCGACACTCACATCACGACATGTCTCCTCCTGGGGGCATTCGCCCCTCGATCATTGGGTGCATGCGCCGCCGGCGCCAAACAGGGTGGGCAGCATGCATGTTGCCAGGCGAGCGCAACGCCGCCACCGCCGGACAGGGTCAGGCCCGCATGCATGTTGCCCGGCAAGCGCGCCGCCGCCCTGGGCGCGGCCTCTCGCCCTCTCCTCTACATGCCTTGTCCTCCCTCCCTCGTGCGTTACTTTGGGTTCCTCAACGACGGAGTCCTCGCTTAACGGCGGGAGCGTCTCGCATGCATTGGCTGGCGGCTTGCTCGTTGGAATTTTCTCTTTTTGGTTGGAGGTTTTGTACGGGATTAATTAGATTGAGAGGTGGCGCTAATTAAGGGAGAGAGATAACCGGTGGCAATTTGGATTGCATGTGTTGCGTGATTGTAGGAGTTGCTGATGCGGGGCGTATGTGGGGTGTTTTGGTGGAGTACGGTCAGTCAATTAAAATTGCTAAATGCACATACAAATAGGATTAGATTAAGGTTAGCTGTTAAATTAACTTAGTGGGCCTAATCATACGGTGGTAATTGATCTGCATACATTTTGTGAGGTGTCTTTAGAGAAGATTTTGTTTGATCTTTTATAAGTAGTGTAGATGCGTGGACGGCTCGAGTTGACACACTGTCTAAAAAACAGGAGTCTCAAACTGCAAGCACCATATGTCGTCAGCACTGACTTTGGCATGTGCATACTACTCCTCCAACCTTGGTATGTAGTATTGCTCATCATCGCGAATGTAACCCTGGTCGCTACGGTGATTCTGTTGCTATTTTTTTTTGAAATGAAAGGTAGATCACATTCTACTTTGTATATTTCAAAACAGGCCGTAGCCCGAAGACCGTAGGTCCATTACATTTATGTTCTGCACCATGGTGCATAGGCCATAAGCTGCCTAGCGAAAGGAAGAACAACAGAGGGAGCAAGAACAGAAGCCAAAACAAAACAACAGAACAATAACAACAACAACAACAACGTGATCTACATTATGCACGTAAACTCTGCATCCAAAGTAGAACAACTTCTTTACGCTCCAGTCTCCTTGTCCAGTGGCTCCATAGCTTGAGAAGATTTGATGTGTACAACCGAGCATAAGATGGAGACCAAATCTTATTGTTGAAAATCCTACCATTCTGGGTGTGCCAGAGAGTGACAGCAGCGGCAGCAACGAGGACATGCCAAGTAGCCGACGACGTTCAACGTGATTGAGTATGATGTATAAAATCCAGCAGATCAGCGGAGTTAGCCATGTCAAACCTGTCCTAGACAGTAGATGCGAGAGAGAAACGCATGATGATATGGTCGATGGACTCTCGGGCCGGGCAGACATCGCAATCAGCATGAGAAACCACCGAGGTCCATTGTTTCCTGACCATGTTATCTCTTGTATTCAGACGACCTCAAAAAGCCAGCCACAAGAAGATACGGTACTTAAGCGGAATTATGGGGTCCCAAACCCACGAGTTGAACCTGCTGCTCATCCCCCGGAAGGTGAGAAGGTGATAAAAGTCCGAAGTGCTCGAAACCTTTCCATAAAGGGAGGAAGAACGAGTGTCCTTGTCAAGAGGCGCAGGCTGAATGCCCAAAAGAAGAGAGTGCAAGCGCTGCAGTTCCTGGACTGCCGATCGTGTAAGATTAGGGTGCAGCTGAACATCCCAAACACCATCAGCAGAGAGCTGCGAAGCAACCGAGCAAGAAATGTCTTCTGCAAAAGTGTAGAGAGTCGGCAACACATGATTAAGATGCCCGACTTCAAGCCATTTGTCATGCCAAAAAGAGAGACAACTCCCATTACCCAGAGAGCATCTGGAAGCATAGAGAACCATGGAATAAACCGCTTGAAACCCTTCCAAATGGGTGCATCTCTGCTCTGTGTCCCAAAAGCAATACGACGATCGCAGTACTGTGAAGCGAACCACTGGAAACAAGGAATATCCGAGGACTGCAGAACTTGGCCGTGAACTTGCATAACAGAGCTTGATTATGAGCAGCCACATCCCGCACACCCAGCCCACCAGAACACCGCGGCATAGACACATATTCCCAAGCCACCAAGCATTGATCTCCCTGAACACTGTTCTTGCCTTGCCAGAAAAACGCCCTTAGGAGGTTGTTCAGCTTGGCAATATCTTTGCACTGTCGCTATTATTCGCCGCAGCTGAACGACGAAGACCCTCTGTAACAATCATCCCTGTATGCACCATCTCTCTCAAAGTCAAACTCTCCCATCTATCCATTCCTTCTGTCGGCGCTGTTACCAAACCAATAACGGTCAGCTCCAAAACCACTATGCCCCCGGTGTGTCTTCTTTGTATGTTTGTGATAAATTGTTTTTCTAATAAAGGGTGAAATTTATTTTCTTAAAATTAATGGAGCATCAGGATGATACAAACACAGAGAACACACCTGACCTTTGCATGGTTAGGATGTACAACCAACACCCATGCACGCACACATAAATACGTCGCCAAATAGTAGTCATATAAGACCAACACTACTATGCATAGACGAGGAAAAAAACAAAACCTCAAAGCGATCAGATCCGCGATCGATAAACTACATCAATGACCATAGCAGTAGCAACCATTCCATGACAACACACGAATGACGAGGTTCATCAATAGCAGTGCCTTCAGAAAGGGATCGGCGCTCATGCGTCGCCGTCACCAGACCCAACTACCCAAGGCTATAATATAAATTTTTCACCCTAAAGAACCAGTCTAATAATATCCGAGCAACACCTTCAGCAAGGTAAGGACACAAAAACACATGGATTTACGGATTTCTAATATTCGTTGCTGTTGCACATGCAGCAATTTTTATGGTAAGAGACTATGATCCAACTACTCGATACAACGTATCGGAATTGCTAGGTATAACCCACACAGGTCAGCCCTAGGCTTTCATCTCATAACTCAAGACCGAAGCCACTTATGTGCTGTAGCCATCACTTTTTCGTGATCCCAGCAGTTGCATGCGATGTGGCCGCTACACAACCATCCCTCTACGCCAAGCTATCGTCCCGCCAAAGCTAGTCACTGAGTCTGGAGAGAGGAACCCTCACAAAGACCTTTCGGTGGGCACCACAATGCGTCGCAAGTGCACCGTTGCACGCCGGTGTGGTCGCCATAAGGACCAACAACAATGACGAAGCACAACACCACTGACTACCACCTCACCAGAGAGAGCCCTTCACAGGCCTGTCATCCTAGGGGCCAATATGGCTGGAGCCGGAGGATGAAAGGCACATCAATATCGCTCGCGTGGAGCGCAGCCGCCACTAGATCAGGAGCGGATAGCCGCCAGATCAATGTCGTGCCTCCCGATCCAAGTCGACAAGAACCAAGGCCGCATTGCCAAATAGGGAAGCCGCCACGTGCACTGGGACTGCTGTTGCCGCCATAAAACGAGGCTTCCATAATGTAGTTGCCCGCCCAGCACCACCAGGAAGCTGTTGCATCCACGCAACAAAAGCCACAGGGACGACGCGTCCCATCGCCAACTTCCTCGAGTTGCCCGAGGCTTCGCATGTGAGCCCTCTAGTGGAAGCAATGTGTTGGGAAGACAAAGGAGCACCCTAGCGGTGGATGTGATGAGTGTTTCCCCCATGTCGCAAGAGGCGGCACGGGGGATGTGGGTGTTTGGTTCAGTTCTAGGCTGCCTTTGTCAAATCAATTGTTTTGGGTGAGTAAGACTAGAACTATATCCCGTAGAAAAAAAAGAGATTTGAACTATATGTTTTTAGAGCTGAAAGTAGGTATAAATCACAGTGTACGAGCGCACTAGGTAGTAACGCCTCATATTGGGCTTGCAATGTGACATTCCCCCTATCTCTCGTGCATGCATGCATACAAACAAATGCATGATATCAATAAAGCATTTCCCTAAATTGAATTTCAAAAAAATCTTTACCTCTTAAATCATTGACCCTATTAATGATTCGCTTTCACTAGCATTCTGGTGGCGAAATCTTCAAAACTAGATCCCATACCAGCATGTTTCGACGAATTTTTGGCCGGTACTTGCCAGATTAGTGTCACTCAGTTATCTTTATTTGCTACCTTGTTGTCAAAATGAAATTAACTTAGTTTTCAGATTTCTGGAAGTTGATATACACCGCTAAAAGCTTGCTTCATTATGCTTATGTTAGTTGATGCCTCTTCCTACTTTTGTCAATCATCGAATACTCACTCTTTAGCTATGCATAACATTGCAGTGTCCAAAAGCGTATGAAAGTATTTCTCGGTAACTATATACAATCATCATGGAAACCGTTCAGGGTTAAAGATGGCAACTAGGGTGACATAATATGACAACTGATGGCAATGAAAAAAATCATTGAAGAATGTCAATATCAGATCTTGTTTCGAAGCCCTTGTGAAGAAAAACCTAGCGGTGTAGAAGGATCGCTAATCGGATTAACGATTTGTGAGATAAATCATTACAAAAGTTCAAAAATGCAATTAACGTGATGACATCAACATTAGATGAAAGATTCCTGCATGCATGCATGTGCTTTTTCTATAAGTGAAAAATCTCGTTGAAAGGTGTGATAGCATCAAAAGACACATATGCACACAATGCTACTTAATTTTATTGATAAAATTTAGTTCTATTTTTCAGACGGAAGGGATGGATGGTGCTCGGACAATCAAGGAGCTGATACAGGTTGCACTCCACCATCTCAAATGAGAAGAAGCTCGTCAAATCCATGAGTTACTGATGATGTTAGTGTTGCAAACTATGCACTAATGGGCATCCCAACTTCTACCTACAGTGTATCATGTTCACTATATCATGACAAGAGAGGCCTATGAGTCCACCTTAGTACTAATGTCATCATCTAATAACACCACAACAATTGTAGTTATTAATCATAATCACTAGTAAAATGGTACCGCATGGGTTAGCCCGGCGTGGCGCCATATGGAGCATGGAGGTTGATTTAGTGGGATTTCTGCTACGGTCGGCATGGGTGGGCTGTTGTACGGAGTATGTGCAGATTTCTTTTCAATATTCAAAATCCTAACTAAATATATTGAGGGTCCAAATTACAAATTTGTTTCATCGTAATGTTCCTCGTGTCGATATCTTTAAAATTAGCTACCATGTAAATAGGTTTTGATGAACTTTTATTTCATGAGGTATACCTATTACGGTGGTAAAGGAATACTCATGTTAGTTAGTTAGTCGGTCCGTGTACATTGTTAGATATTATGGGTCTTGGACCACTAAGTCTTCTATATCAGCCTAACAAAATTCTGAAATCACAAAGGCCCATTTAAGTTGCATGGCAAGTGTGTAAGTTTAGTCTTGTACTACTACTTGAGAAACATTAGCACTGATATATAAGGTTAGGAGATATACTACTCCTTGTAGCATGAGAAAAGAGTGCAACTACCTGCACGTTCAATCTCACTCACTCCCCCACTTCATGCCACGCAATGCGCACGGGTCACATCATATATCATCATGTCACCTAAATTGAGCTTGAGTTCGAGACAATGTTATATGCCATGTTGGAAGAATTGATATTTTTCTAGGTAGTGCACCGCTAAATCATCTTTGGGTGTGCCTCTCCAAACTTGAGCCTGTTATGGACATCGTTTGCTTCCAAATACTCCTTCCACCATGTGTTAGGTGCATTTCTACACTAGTGGAGAAATGACTAGCCACAACTTTTGTTGGTGGAGCACCATTTCCCACCAATGCCGACACTATTTTTTTTCAAATAGTGCTGGCGTGTGCATACTTGGTACGGCTGTGATACGACCTTAGTGCTGTCGTAAAAAAATTCTGTTACACCATAGATATTTGCTGAGTTTTTTTTGCTTGCTACATTTTCTTATGGCGTGGCCCATTAGGCCCACGCCAGCACTAGTCCATCTTCTA